TATATATATATATATATATATATATATATATATATATATAGGGTATTTAGCATTTATAATTCCTATAAATACACCCAAGAAATTTATATATATATATATATATATATATATATATATATATATATATATATATATATATATATATATATATATATATATATATATATATATATATATATATCTTGGTGTTTTCTGGGGCGATTTTTCAATTTATATACATACATATAAACTTAGAAATGAAGTTAATCTATCTATCTATCTGTCTATCTATCTATCTGCCCGTCTGTCTCAGCGTATTCCTATTTCTCTCGCTTCGGCTCAACAAATGTCGAAAAACGATACACAATAAGACACACACACAAATACTCACACAGACGCACACATATATAAATATACATATATAGATTTTTTCTTATAGACAAATATATATTCGTATTTAGCATATTTTTTAAAAAGTATATGACAATACATGCATATACATATATACATACGTATAGATACGCACATATATCGAAATATGCAACATATATATATATATATATATATATATATATATATATATATGAAGATAAGATATTGAATATGTGTGATATAATGATGTATTTGTGTGTCTGTGTGTGTTTTTATATGCATGTTGAGTAATCGTTTTAAAACGGCGTTACCAAAATTTCGAAAGTAAATGCAATAAAGAAGCGTGAAAACTTGTCTTACCTACGGTGATGACAATATCGTCTGGTTCCTTCCTGTTGGCGGTCGCAGCTGACCATAATAGTCCAGCAAATAACGCCATGAAGAATATGGTCAGCTCCATCCTGGGAGTGGTACTGACCCTGCATGTCCTCATATTGTCCGTGTATCCAGTTGCACGGAGTCGAGCCCTCCAAAGTACAGCATGACTTCAAGACGACAGAAGAATGAATGCGGACCTTCACAAACACGAATCTTGGGTGGGTGTGCGTGTCTGACGGGCCAGAAGTTGAAAGAAATTCGTTAAGAATCCATAGGGGAAATACATTCGATCATTTAAAAATAAAATAAAATTGGTAAATAAATTAAACGTTGTTAAATTACTTTATAAAATTATTCGATATTCGGGAATGAAGATGGCCCGTTTGAACACGAGGATGATTGATAGAGAAACAGTTCTCTAGTTAAGCGTTAGAAAAGTATAACACATATCGGACTCCATAGAAAGTATTATTATTATTATTATTATTATTATTATTATTTTGTTCAGGATAAATACATATATGTATACACACGTACACACACACACACAGATTCACGTATATAAATATGTATCTATCTATATATAGATATAGATAGCTATAGATATTAATAAAATGGATGATGAGGGTAAGTCTGTGGGTTATACATTTTTAGAGAGAGTGAAAGAAGGAGAGAGAGAGAGAGAGAGAAGTTGTTGAGTTTCTATGAAATAATAAAAAAAGAAGAAAGACAACCAGTCAAACACGACGTTGGTTGGAGCAAAAGGCAAAGAGAGCTGTAAGCAATAGATATAGAGGGGGTTATTGATTAAATAAGTGAAGAGCAGATCTTGATAAGAGAGGGGGAAGATAGGTTGATGGTAAAACGAATCGATAGACAGTATAGAGAGGGGGTGGAAAGAGGAAAAGGGAAAGAATAGTTAGCGGGAACCAACTAATGGAGGGTCTCTGTTTCAGAGATAATATCACTTTCTCTGTAAAATACGCATATGCGTGTAAGTAGATATGTTTATATCTATAAGCGTGTTTCCTGGTGTTTATCAATCGATTATCGCATGTTTGGAATAAAAGATAAGTTAACATGCGTTATTCCTCTGGTAGATCGAATACTGCAGCTGTATACGAACGTGCAAGCGTACACACGCGGATGCAGACACACGCATTGGCCTGGTACAAAGCAGCGTTGTGCTGGGCAGCGGAGATCTCGTACAGTCGTGGGCGCGACTGCATGAGACAATAAAGAAAGCTAGGCGAATACTTTGCACAGCAAATAACGGAACGTTAACGTTATAGTCGTGCCTTCAACCGAGGCAAACTGACAAAAAAAAAGGCAAAGTTAGTTTTTAGATACACATATAGGACTTAGCAAAAATGGAGATATAACGACAGACAGACTGAGAGACGAGTGAGTGTAAGGTCATTCTGACGGTGTTGAAAAGGAAGGAAGAAAACATGGGAGGTTTTATATATATATATATATATATATATATATATATAAGTCAGAAGCAGGAAAGAGAAAGTAAGGGGAAAATAAATAAATAAAGAAAGAAAGAAAAGTCATGAAAAGGAAATGAAAAGAAGAGATGAAGAAAAAAGAGAAAGTGAAGAAAAGAGAAAAAGGTTGATTTGAATTTATGAAAAACTTTTCTTCAAAGAGAATTATGAAATCTTAAAAAAGGAAAGGAGAAATTGAAAATAAAAATAATTAAAGAAATGAAAATAAATATTACAAAGATGAAAAGCCCAAACAAATCCTAAGAAAAATGTTTTTCAAAATGACAATATGTTGTACGTTTTATAAAATCGGAAATAAATCTATCTTTTATATTTGAAAAAGGGGAAGAAAGTTTGGAAAACATCCATCAAAGAGAAGCGTCATAGATAAAATAGTTTTTGCACTGATATACATTTTAATAAAACTACACAGGCTGCCGCAAAATTAGATGTACAGTAAGTATTATACTAGTATCACCATTATTATACTAGCAGTTCTATGATTTATTTAATACTAAAATTTATTTAATTCATTAAAATCATTTTTAATATTCTTTTTTTTTTCATAACTTGTATTAATACATTTATTATAATTTTATTTTTTAATAAATAATAAAATAATTTTTTGTAAGTAAAGTGGAGTATATACATGAGGGGGCAAACTGATGTACATTAGAAGGGGTGATGTGTTAATTATTGTTATTTATATGTTCGTATAATCAATACGTTTTGTACGCACGTTTTGTTATTCGTTACTATATATACCTACTTTTTTTACCACCTGAATTGCTGGTATTGACAATCTAAGTTGTTACTGTTTAATTTAAATCGAACATAAAAAGAAGTTTTGATACATTGTGTGTTTTGCGGGAGCCGAATAAATAAAAAATGGGAGAAAATTATTTTGGGAACAGAATATAAATGATAACAAAATCGAGTGTCAAATAGTCGTCAGAATTGAGGAGAAATGTTGTCACTTGATTCACACAGACACTTTCAGTGTAAAACTAGTAGCACTACTACTGCAGGACTACTACTAGTGCTGTCATTGAGACTATACACTGTTTTTTTTTTTGTCTGTGAGAGCATTACGGCAAATGTCAGATAACTGCGTAGACTTGGTGTCTCTCGATCTCCAATGAAAGACACCTAGCAGATACTTGCGGTAGACATTCGCATGCGTGGAACAACTTGCCAGGGAAAGTAAGAAAACAATGGATTATTACAGTAGTACTCATAAATTTGACGCATTCGAACTGTCCCCACCACCCTCAAAAATGAAGATTAGATCAATACAATAAAGAATCAGAGAAACAACTGAGTCTTTTCATCCCATGAAAGGATGGAAGGGTTGGGGGTCACGGGGCGGTTTTCGAGAAAGTGCTGACGATGTGAAGAGACCTTTTATCACTCAGTTTGCCTTGTTAACTAGGAGGTATTTTATGTGAATATGCAAGTGCCTTAAATAATAATAATAATAATAATAATAGTCATTAAGTTAATGATATAGATATTTATAAAATCTATCTATTTCAATCTCCCTTCCTCCCAATCTATCTATCTATCTATCTATCTATCTATCTATCTATCTATCTATCTCTCTCTCTCTCTCTCTGTATATGTGTGTGTGTGTGTGTGTGTGTGTGTGTGTGTGTGTGTGTGTGAATTTAAAAGTAGGGACAGATTTAAAATAACTGTTCAGAAGTAATTAACAGAAATGGAAGAAGAGAGAAGAGGCACATAACTATCTATCTATCTATCTATCTATCTATCTATCTATCTATCTATCTATCTATTACTTTTTCTTTCTCGTTCTTTTTCTTTATATATATATATATATATATATATATATATATATATATATATATATATCAGTGAATTTAAAAAGAACTTATCTATCTATCTCTTTATCTCCCTCTTTCTTTATATATATATATATATATATATATATATATATATATATATATATAGTGAATGAAAATGAAAAATAAGAATATATCTATGAATATATCTAAAAATCTCTTTATATCTTTCTTTATATATATATATATATATATATATATATATATATATATATATATATATATATAAAAATCGAGAATTTAAAAGTAGGGTTAGATTTAAAATCAATGATCAGAAATAATTAGCCGAAATTGAAGAAGGTGAACTTATTAAATCAATGAAAAATCCTTGGTTTGATCAACAAACTGAAAATGCAGACAGATCTACAGTGAGAGAAATCTATGATCATTCGAATATCCGAATATATCAACAACTAATCACTCAATCAAGCGAACATTTTCTGCTAACATTATATAACGCTACAGTTGTTTGCAGGCGAATCGTTTTAAAGAATGCAAGACGTCAGTGTATTAAAGTCGGTCTTTCAGATGCCTACACGCTCGTTATACACTTCGCGCTGAATCGAAATTAGATATTCGCTTCGTTTCTTACGCTTATCTGTGAGATTCGTGTGGCTTAGGGTTCTATCTCCATTGCTGCGGTGTTGCTTCGTTACTCTGACGGCTGCTACAAAAAGCAAACAGATATGCCGTCGAAACTCCATAGTCGAACAGCGGTTCAGCTTGTGTATGTGTGTGCGACTCTATAAGCTCCAGGTTCCGTTTGCGCGGACGAAGGTCGGTTTTCAAAACGGAAATGCAAGACGCGAAGGGCTAATATTAACTAACACAAGTCATGATAAAGATGTAATTATACAGACCAGAAAATCAGAAAATGCTGAAAATAACATTGAAAATAATAATAAATATATAAATTATACATATCTAATTGATACTATATAAGAAGAAAGAAACAAGTAAGTGTCCAAAGTACGAAGAAAATTCCTTTATTCTGATTAACAAACGAGGGACTGAATGTCCAAGCGTTTGATCAATAGTTTATCAAATTCACATTCTGGTCCCAAAATATGAATAAGAATATTAGACAGGAATTAATTGGAGGAAATAACGGAGAGATGAAAGAAGAAAGTACAGCTAAAGAAGAAAAGGTAGAAGAAAGCTAGAAAATATACGAAAAGAAAAAAAAGGTGATAGGAATCACACACACACACACACACACACACACACACACACACACACACACACATATATATATATATATATATATATATATATATATATATATATATGTTTAGACATGTCTGATCGAATAAATTACAGACATTATGTCTGATAATTTTTAATAAAATCCATTTATACTCACAAATAACATTCCGTGTATTGATGTTAAAGGATAAGAGAAATGTGCTATAACTGTATAAATTTTTTTTTTATTTTCATGTCCCAAATACGCTAATGGATAACAACGTATATCTTTACATATATACTTATACTAATAAACAACATATAGTTTTGTACCACTCGCAACCCTGAAGATGATCTTAGAAAAAGATCGAAAGCTCCGGGGAAATGAAAATAAAAGAAATTTTAAACAGCTATAGCACATTGCTCTAATCCTTTAAGATCAATACACGGAAGGTTATTCACACACACACACACACACACACACACACACACACACACACACACACACACATATATATATGAATATGTGTGTGTGTATTTAGGCAGTAAATTTTCATTTAGACATGTCTGATTGAACAAATTACACCGAAGACATGTCAAAATCGCTACACAATTGCAGTCGTGTTTTGATGCGTATCAATGCCTCTCCTTAGGCGATTGTAAACCATTGGCAAAGTGAATGATTTATTAAAAATACAAAAATAAACAAAATGCATCCTTACCCACTACCAAAACGTAGCAATAACTGATACATTAAAATATAGACATATTGAACACCCAGACACCCCTAGTCTAGCAAAATAGATTTATCTGTAACCTTGGAAACATGAATTTTGTTTTAGTTGTGTATTTAAAACCCAGTAATTTTAAAAGTTACTCCAAAATGAATGGACCTAATAAGAAATATATAATATATATATATATATATATATATATATATATATATATATATATATATATAAACACACACACACACACACACACACATATATATATATATATATATATATATATATATATATATATATATATATATATATGAAGAAAAATATATACGGAAAAAAAACAAACAAAAAATCCTTATATATATTTTTTCTTCACACTGTCGGATCTATATCCATATATTTGCTTATATATATATATATATATATATATATATATATATATATATATATATATATATATATATATATATTATTATATTATTATTATTAAATATAACAGACAGTGTCTATTACGTCTGATCATGACCCGTTCAAAAGTTTGTATGTTTGCTTTAATTTCCGGTGAAAATAAAGACAAAAAATTGTCCAAGATTTGTATATTTTTTATTCAGTTGCTCCTGCGCTTTCGGCTGACATGAGCCATCTTCACAGTTGTTATATGGACATTGAAACAAAGACATCCACCATCAAAGATGCTATTTTGTCATGTTCACATAGAAAATTGCTATGCTACGATAACGATGACGGATATATATATATATATATATATATATATATATATATATATATATATATATATATATATGTGTATATATATATATATACATGTGTGTGTGCCTCTATGTGTGTGTGTGTGTGTGTGTGTGTGTGCAAGTGTGTTTTACCATGTATGGCGTTTTTCCTAAAACCAGGTGAATAAAAATCCAAGATATTCCGTGATCGCATTTTCACCTGCGTGTCACCAGACAGTAAAAGTCAGTCTTATTTATTTATTTTTTTTTTGTCATCAAACTCCATCCACTCCCCTGACATTTACTGAACATTTATTCACACATGGAACCGTAATTTTGATTAGTTAAATTTATTAACGAATTTTTCTTCTCTATTAAGATCTGTAAGTTTTAGCCTCACACTTTTCATCTTGCATTATAATTCCATCAAAATGACTGATAATTCGAAAAATACTACCAGTATCTTTTCTAAGTGTCTTATTCGATAAATAGCTTTCGTATACTGTCTTTATTATTTCTCTTGCTACAAAGTTTCCTTATAGATTCAGTGGTCTTCATGCACATATTATTTTCAATGGTCTGTGGAAGAATTAACAGTTTAAGGATTAACTGGCTCTCCGATTAATACTTCCAATTATCCATTACACCACCCACACATCCAAACTGACAGCACCTGCAATTCCCAAGCTGTCACTAAATTAGTTACTGACCAAACTCGACGTTGCTTAACTTTGGCGATCGTACGAGAACTAGTGTTTCAACGTGATGTGGCCATAAAACTAGCAGCAAAATAATTTTTAGAAGAATGAATTTTTGTAGTTACAATTTCTTTTTTCTTATGCTCCAAACATAATTATATCAATAAATAAACGGGAATTTTAACCGTGAAAAAAAATTTTTAAAAATAAAAATGGACATATATAAGGTGACTGCTGAAAACTGATGTTGAGTGTACAGATATCAAGAAAAATCTGTTGCTTTATTGGAACCGATTCAATAAAACAGGAAAAGTTGAAAGCAAATGAAGGCATGTGTATTTCAGGAAAATTGAAAATAACGAATCATTCAGTAGAAATCAAAGCGTAATTCTTATAGATATTTTCTGATCTTTTATATCGTTCCTAAGAATAAGACATAAACTTAGACTTTCTTCAGCGTATTAGAAAGTTGATGCTCATTCATAAAGTCATACAGGAACGTTGTATATACTAGATTATCAAAATGATTATGGGAGCCGTTGCGCAGAAAAAAAGAAAACGGTCTCACCAACCCAGCAATTTCATACCAAAACAAATATATAATCCGAATATTTTTTAATCATTTTGCCCCAAGTAAAGAGGAAATATCATTAATGTGCAGGGTGATTACAAGGAGTGAAAGTGAGAGAAAATATTTAGTACAGGGGGAGTGAGGAAATGACAAAATATGAACGGAATTTAAGAAGATAGACGATGGCGATTGATGTTTCATTTAAATTTTTGAAAATTGTAGTTATTGTAGAATAACAATAATAAACAGCACTTACCGGTGTAAAGGTCCCAGCTAGCGTCCAGCTGGCAGACAAAAATAAAGCAGGTTGTAACTTAATTCAAACCCTGCAAACTAACAGCTGAATCAAGCTGGTATTTATATAGAAATACCTCCACTCAGGTACCAGCAGCCAATCACAGCCCAAGCAATGGACTATCCCACTTTAGCACAATGAGATGCTCTATGGCAACATAAATAGCTCTCTTTCTAAAGGTTTGATTATTGTTCACTTAGCTTGCTCCACAACTAAGTGTTTATCTCTACCACGTGATTTTTCTACAGTTATTAGGGAATCAAGTAAACGGAAGGGAGTTCCACAGATGGGAAACGCGCGAAAATAAACTATCGGAATAGAAGTGGCGGTTGCATTTAGCTATTTCAACAGTAAAAGTGTGGGACCTAGATGCCAATCTAGTAGCATAAATTAATGTGGTCATGACACCAAGGAAAAATGCTCGTAAGAGCATTTGGCATGGAAATATTTTTCGAAAAGGCAGCGGGAAGCAACGTCACGTTGGTGAGAAAGTGACTGAAGTTGAGATGCCCGGTCAGGATCGATTACGTTACAGTTCCTTCTTTAGGTTCTGTCAAGAATCTCGAGATGAATGGCAGGATCAGTAGATTAAATGTGGCAAATGTATTCATTGCACTGGCGAATGATAGATTTATAAATATGCTAGACTAGCAGCATATCCCGGCGTTGCCCGTGCTTGATTCAAAAATCCTACGACGCATACAGCAATCGCTATCACTTGACTTAAAATATTTTTGCCCTTCCTTGCCTTTAAAGGAGCGACCTTTGCCGTGCTGATGTTGCTACATGCCTTACTTCTTGCCTATCTCACACTGCGAATTTTTTTTTTCTAAGCTCTATACTAAACATTAAATCTGTTACGAAAAAGAACTAAACAAAATGAACACGAAACGATCAGCTTTAAAAAGGACTCGTAACTGGAAAAACCGAATGAAAAAAGAATGTTAACAACAAATACTTTTTCACACCCAACCCAGTTCTGCGGAATCAGAATCAACGTTGAGTTTAAGCAAGCGAATGATCCAATTGGAGTAAAGTCCCATGCAGATTTAAATTCTTCCCATTTGCAGCTATCGATTTTTTTTTGTATGCTAGAATGCTAGTTAACATTCGTGTCAGTCAGCTATTGGCTCTCACGCTGGCCAATAGAATCTTCCTGCTTATCCGTGGCAGTCAGCTATTGGCTCTCACTCTGGCCAGTAGAAAATGGCCGCAAACTACATGAAAACTATCATAAAAGCATGAAAAAATCGATTATTTCCACTATCGATGGGAGTTGGGAAATGCAACGTCGGTCTTGACCCTTCCGCTAACTTGGAGCATGAGCATGTAGATTTTGGTGTAAATCTGTCGGAAATTGCGGCCGTGCATTCGTTACACACACACACACACACACACACACACATTCTGCCTTTTGTAGATAGAGATGGATTCTGACGAGAAAAATTTGCTGACATAACACATTGACCCAAATTTACTTGTAGTAGATGCAGATATTGAGTCTATGTAGTCGCTCCACTTCAAGTCAGTTGAAGTTGTAGTGTGTTGCTCTCCAGGAGTCTCGTGTCAGCCATGATGATGGCAGGTAAAAGTTTCTCGCTTATGATTAAATGAGAGCAGTTTTATATCGGAGGCGTTAAAATTTACAAGCTATTTCCTGCCCCAGTACGTCAAAGGGAATCCAAACAAATATAAGGAAAATCGTCAATGCAGTTGGTGTAGAGATGCAACTAACAATCACATAATCCGTGATTGTACCAAATTAGCCGTGAAAGCCTATAAAAGTAGATAATGATGTGGAAGGGAGGAATATACAGGTGAAAATGTATAAAGAACTTAGACTCGTCCAATGTAAGCCAATGTTATAATCGCAAAACGAAACTTGCTTGACAATAAATTAAAATTTGATAACATTTTAAAATTAAAAATTCAGAACAGGAGAATAGACACAGGCCACATAGAAAGGAATGCATAAGCAGACCGTAGAGTAAAGCTGAAAGATATTGAAGTTTTACTTTTTGTTTAATATTCAGTAACTATTGGAGATGCAGACGACAATCCAGAGGATCCTAACATCTTGATATATAAATGCAATGCAATCTTTCAATTACTTAAATCAGATGATACTTTTTGATGGCACGGGTAAACTAGTCACTTAATGTTATTCGAAGATTAAACGAAATGTCTAGACACAAGAATGAACTTAGTTGGAATGCGGGACTTCTGGGAATGATCAAAGATATATTAAGTGGAAAAAATCGCTTCAATGAAAATTGACAAATCTTAGAGATGTTCTGTATTTCTTCAGACAAACACGTCTGACAATGTTTAAATTTAAGAAAGAATATAGACAAAAATGGATTTTCTCGGTGCCGACGTTTGAATGGTCAATGAATCATTCTTCAAATTCGTCTTAAGATCTAACTACAAAAACTAATAAATAAAATGTATATTGCATCTCTCTGAACAAAAGTGTGATGTATTTGATTATATATATATATATATATATATATATATATATATATATATATATATATATATATATATATATAGATAAATAGATAGATAGATAATATTAGTAATAAATATACACGTACATATGCAAAATATATAAATATATATACATGCATGCATACACATACATATATATTTTTTGATTAAAAATAAAAAAATTCCAAGAGGATAGAATCCAGGTAGAACTCAATGTCCAGGACAGAGTAAGGATATAATAAAAAGGCTTAAACACTAATATTCCATGGTCATAATTAATTCCATTGGAATCGTAAATACGATCCAATTCATCAGACCTACAAATTCAAAAAGAAAACAGAAAAAACAACTCCGGAAATGAAAAAAAGAATTTTGAGAGAGTGTAAGTATGAGAGTGTGGGACGAATGTTAGAGCTAAAGAAAAGGGTAACAGACGAGAGAAGGTGGGAGATTAAAACTTAACAGAGAGAAGTTTTATATATATATATATATATATATATATATATATATATATATATATATATATATATATATATATATGAGGTGACACACTGGTAAAGCTTTATAAACGACGCATTACACTGATGGTTTTTTTCCCGTGTGGATGATAAACAAGACAGTGTGTAAGGAAGATACGTTGGTATTTTTGAAAAAAAAAGAGGAGCAATAAATTAAATCATTTTAGATTCAACAACCAGAAAACAACACGTCCTTGTTCTTTTACTTGCTTCATATAATATATATATATATATATATATATATATATATATATATATATATATATATATAGTGTCAACAAAGACTGTTTGGATCACAGTTCATCAGCGTGACTAGACATCCGATTGCCACACACACAGATATATATATATATATATATATATATATATATATATATATATAAATATATAAAAAAAGAGAGAATCCGCAAACGTTTTTGGTTATGAAGTGGATTTTTATATATACTTTATTTTTCATATTTTTGCTGCACTCATTTCTGGTCCCGAGACCTTCATCAGGCAAATTCCGCTTATTATTATGTGGGATTTATTTTCCTTATGCTTTTCGATGTTTAACTATCTCACTTTTGTGTAGTAGTAACCCCAGAAAAAAGGAAAGGATTTGCTAATAATATTCGTATGAAAAATAAGCAATTTCTACGGACTACCAAAAATTCACACATCGAGTGAAATAAAAGCAGCTATCCAGACACAAAAATCTGAAAACATTAACATCCCAAACCCCAGTGACCTTACATTCAGACTCATAGTAGCAGGACCAGCCTATTCAACCAACAGACTCAGTAACTTAATAGACACAATACTACAATCATTTACTATAAGCAGATTAAAAGCTACATCAGAGACTTCCTTCGCTCGATATCACAAAAAGTAGATCCGGGAACACTTATGGCAAATGTTGACATTAGTAGCCTATATAGCAACATACCCATGAATTAGTTAAACAGGCAATCTCATTCTAGATTGAAAAACATCCAGAAACACTGCATCCCAGTTTCACTAAGGCATTCATTATCGATAGTACAGAACTAATTCAAAACAGTATCACTTTTGAATTTGACAACCGAAACTCTATACAAACCCTAGGGACCGCAGTGGGAACAACATTGGAACCAACCTATGCAACCCTAACATTAACCTTATTAGAGGGAAAAACTCTATGAAAAGATAGTATGATTGTTTCTTTTCTTGGAAATCTTCATG